TAGAAAAAGTAGACTTTGTACTTTGGAGAGATGTTGGATCTTAGTTGAACATCCTGCCTGCTCTTGGTTGGCCTTGTTCCAGTCATCCAGGCTGCAGGTGGACACCACCAATTTTTTTCTGCAGTTCTCAATCCAGTTTGTTAGATGGACAGATGGTCTCCTTTTTTAGTTTGCGTGTCTTTGGGTGGACAGCAATAGAGCCTGTAAGCCCCTTCGCAGGATGTGCCAAGCCTTCTTAATCCATGCAGACAGCACCAAACAATATGGGAAAAGTAAGCCAACTTTGTTTCACTCTTCAGGATCTCAGCTGCTTTGGTAGACCTGGCTCTTTCTTGGAATTCTTTCCCATTATATTTTTGCAAAACATTAAAGAAAGGAAAGCAACTGGGTCAGCCCAACTGGAAAAAAATTTTGTTCGTGCACACGCATACAAATACCCATCTGTTCTGTACACCAGGAATGATAGACTTCATTTGTTTTTGGTTTTTTTTTCAAATTCCTGCCCATACCAAAAGCTAAAACAGAGAAAAGCCACAAATTAATACTTTATCAGGAGGTACAAAGATAAGACTTTCTGTTCATCCTCCAAATGGGGCCTGTTTGGCAGGAATTGAGTGGCAATTTCCAGATTTTAGACTCTCCTGCAAAGGAGATTAATATTTCCAGGTGAGAGTTTCTCTAGCATTAACTTGATGGGCTTGTCATCAAAAGGCAAAATCTTTTATTTACAGTGAGATTATTTATTGAACTGATAACTTCTCATTCGATAACTTCTCATTCTGGAGTGAAATAAGCTGCTAAATATGTCTGCTGGATTTGGGGATGGTTTGGTAGCGTGTTAAAGCTGCCTGCCTTGGAATTTTTATTGCAACAGATAAATTTAGTAATATTTTTCTTTAATTACCAATATTCTTTAGCGGAGGAGAATGTCAATTAAGCATAGGCAAAAAAAAGGGGGGAAATTTTTATTTCAACTAGAGAGACTTTGTTTAAAATATAAACTTCACATTTTATGGACTGCATGTGTACACAAGTCCTCCTATAACATCCACAGACTGGAAACTGTTGCTAAGCCACATGATCATTAAACAAGACATTGTGTGACTGCGTTGGACTTTGTCACTTTTCTCTGCAGTTGTTAAGTGAATCACTACTGTCATTATATGAGTCAACCCATAACTGTGACTTATCACCTCCTGCTGGCCTTCGCAGTGTCTTTGCTTGTCAAAAGCCAGCTGTGTACAAAGATGCCAAACACATGACCATGGGGCATGGCAGCTGTCATGTAAGCAAACTGGTTGCAAAGTGCCTGAATGGCAATCATGTGACTCTGGGGATGCTGAAACAGCCATAAGTTCGAGGACCAGTCGTAAGTCTTTTTGTTCAGTGCTGTTGTAACTTTGAACAGTCACTAAGTGAGTGGACAGTAAGCGAGAACGACCTGGAATGTCTTTCCACTTAAGATAGTTATACGCACACACATACCCAAAATACTCTCTCATTTAAACTGGCCAGTATAGGTAGTCCTCGACTTATAACAGTTCATATAGTGACCGTTCAAAGTTACAACTGCACTGAAAAATGTGACTTGCTTATGTCCATTTTAGCATCCCCACGGTCACATGAACAAAATGCAGATGGTTGGCAAGTGACTCACATTTATGACGGTTGCAGTGTCCCAGGGTCATGTGATTGCCTTTTACGACCTTCTGACAAGCAAAGTGAATGGGGAGGTCAGATTCACTTAACAACTGCAGTGATTCACTTAACAACTGTGGCAAGAAAGCTCATAAAATGGGGCAGGGCTCACTTAAAAACTCTCTTAATTAGCAACAGAAATTTAGCTCTCAGTTGTGGTCGTAAGTCGAGGACTATGTGTAGAAACAAAATAGAATATCTCAAAAACAGTTTGAAAACATCTTCAATAATTATAATCCACAATCGCCTTGGGATTCGAAGATTTGTTAAAGATAAAGATGGGTTTAAGTATTTTCCTGAATGAGATTCAGATGCCAGTCATACCCCGGGCATAGCATGTGCCATAGCATGAGGGCTACAACTGACAAAGGCATGGTTCATTGACCGACATGGTTGAGTTCTTCAGTATGCCTTTTGTGGAAGTTTGCACCAGATGGGCAAAATCCGTTCGACAAGGCGATTTAAACAATTATTCAATTGCAACAAAAAAAGAACAAACTGAATAGCTGAATCCACTGAAAGAGGAAATTGTGCTTAATTCAAACCAGCTCTCCCCTAGCTTCAAAGTGAATTCTGCATCAGCTTAGCTTCAATGCAGAAAGCCAACTGCAATTTTCTTTTAAAACATTGCCCAGTGTCAGAAGGGCAGTCTCAGTGGGAACACCATTTCAGAACACAGTACTGGAGGAGGTGGGAGAATCCTTCCCAGCTAATGAAGTTTATTAAAAAAAAAAAAATAGAATTATACAGTGATTGTGATCTGCGGGTTTGGATTTCAATTACAGGCCACTTTTAAGCTAGTTGGAAGGTGTTTTACATGCCTGAATGAAAGATTGCAATCTTAATATAACCTGTGGCTTTCAGTAAATACTGCAAATACATATATGTTTGGCAAAGAAGAAAAAGACAATATGTATGTAGTCCTCGACTTACGGCTGGAATGGAGTCTGCCCAATATGGTCGTAGGTCACCCATTTGACTGACCCAATTTTATAACCTGTTTTTGTGGTGGCTGTTAAGCAGATCCACTGTCACTAAGGGACTCCCACCATTTTTAAGTGAGCCTATTGTTCACTGTGAGGTGTTTTTGCAGAAAACTAGAAATAAATGCTAGTTTTCAGGAAAAAAAATGTAAATTCGTGGTCGCACTAAAAAAGACGGTAAGTGTGGGCCAGTTGTGGAGATGGCAGTTGGAATTTCAAAAATAGGTTGAAAATACCTTTTTGTGGGTCGGTCATAACTTCAGTCATTAAGAACGGGAGGGAGGGAGGGAGAGACAGACAGACAGACAGACAGAGATAAAGATAAAGATATAAAATCTCACTTTTTAAACCATACATTTAACCTTCACCCCAGGGAATAATATTGATCAGTTCTTTCATTATGTTCATAAAGAAATTAATTATCAGCAAGTAAGGACATATAATCAGTTCAAAATGTTTTTCTGTTGTAAAGTGTCATTTTTTCTGCTGTTTCCCATGCTTGATATATCCATGGGTCTATATTGTTAAAATCCACTTTTATCATTTGAATCATGTTTGGATCTTCAAAACTATTCCTCTTCCCCAAATCAAGACCTTTAACTGTTCATTTAATTACTGTATGCAACATATTCCAGCCCATTGTTTCACAATTCTTGGATATGCGCTTGAAAAATACTCCTGAATTATATAAAAATGTACTTTTGAATTTGAATAATTCAAAACAACTTTAATTTGGTAGTAATTCAGGAATTTTCATTGGGTAAAGAGCAGCATCTGAAATTAAAAGATCTTTTAATTAGATATATTACCCTTCTACAGGTAGTGCTTGATGTATGACTGTTTGTTTAATGTCCATTTTAAGTTACAGCATCACTAAAAAAAGTGACTTATGCTCCGTTCTTGCATTTATGGCCGTTATAGTGTCCCCATGGTCACATGATCAAAATTTGGGAGCTTGGCAACCAGCATATATTTATGATGGTTGCAGCGCCTCAGGGTTACAAGATAGCCATTCATCCAACAAGCTTCTTCAGCAAGTGGCCTCAGAGAGCTAATGACCAACCCTCACAATGGTATTAATTTAATATAAATCCTTCCATTCCCCACCAGTTGGAACTGAAGAAGCTTCTTGGATGGAAAAAAAAAAGCCCCAAGAAAGTCCAGTTGCCTTTTGGAAAAGCATCTTTTGGACAACCATGACCTAGATCAGTGTTTCTCAGTCTTGGTAACTTGATGTCATGTGGACTTCAACTCCCAAAATTCCCTAGTCAGCCATGCTGGCTGGGGAATTCTGGGAGTTGAAGTCTACCCATCTTCAAATTGCTAGGTTGAGAAACATTGACCTAGATCAGGGGTCTTCAAACGTGGCCCTTTTATGACTTGTGGACTTCAACTCCCAGAATTCCTCAGCCAGCATGCCTTGCTAAGGAATTCTGGGAGTTGAAGTCCACAAGTCATAAAAGGGCCAAGTTTGAAGACCCCTGACCTAGATGATTGAGAATCTCCATAGACATTTGGCCAAGATGTATCTGAGTGTGCAAGATCACTTCTGCTATTGCTAAGTTCACTCACTAATGTTTCTCTTTGTTTTCTCTTCCAGTTGGTGTCCATCAACCGAACACTGGTGGAAAGAGGATTTGCTCAGTGCACGGAAAACTACTAGCAAACCCCTTAATCCATCTTCTGGACTGCTCTTTCCTCTTTTCCCCCCTGTCCCTTTGACTTTCTTTCCTGTTTTTGGCACTGTTTCAAAATTAGGATTTTGTAGTCCTTCTTCCCGCCCTTTTCCCTTCCCACCCCCACCCCCCACAAATCAGTCACTATTTCCACCAGCGATTTGTGATGAATTCATCTGACAAACCACAGTTTGTATTGCATACCTCATTTTGTTGAAAAGGCAGGGAGTTGTACCATAAGCCATTAAACAAAACAAACCACAGCTTTAAAACTTGGCTCTTCCCCTTTGGTCAAATGTCAAGTTATTTTAAAAAAAAAAAGAAGAAAATAATAATTGTAATAATAGAGCAAAGAGGTTTGCACCAGGTTGGCTGTGTATGGTTTAAGGCATGTGTTGAACGTATCTCAATTTCCTAAAGTGACTGCTGCCTTGACATTAAACTGACTTGAAATGTAGGAGATAAATTTGATTCAAAAATACCCCCCCCCCAAAAAAAAAAATGAATAAAATATTTGAAACTTGGGAGCACAACTGAAATAATTGGCATATCCATATTTCTTACCATAAAAGCTAGCTACCTTCCCTTTGGTTCTAGGTAAGGCCACATGCCCCTTGTTTGATTGTGACTACACTTTTAATTAAGGCTTGGTTTGTGCAAGAAATCAGGATATGTTCGTTTTGCAGGCCACCTTAAACAATGAATTTGACTTCAGCCACTACAGCTGCGGCGTTTTTTAATTCCCAGTCATGTTAAATACACAGAGAAAAGAAAAACGGTTTGCCAAGCCTGATTGTAAGACACCACTGTTTTCTAGCTGTTTGAAAAAAAAAACCTATGTAAATATATATAAAAATCATTGTAATATTTTGTATAAGAAAAGAAAAACTGGAGAATTAAAAAAGGGAACTTCAAACAAAATGATTTTTTTTTCCATACCAAAATGTCCTCTGTAGAAAAAATAGTTCGGGGTGTATGATTACACAGCTTAAAACACTAGAATGTGTGAAAAAAATTCTGACCCTTGTATAGCATGATTCTTTCCCCTGCTTGCTGTATGGTAGGAAGAGTAATCAGCAAATTCTTATTGCTTTTTTGCTGTACAGATCTGACTGAACGGGGAAAAACGAGTAACATTTGGAATTAATATTGCAGTGGCGTCTTTTTTTTTTTTTTTTTTGCTCCTTTTTAGATTGGTTTCAAATGTGGAATTTAAAAAAAAAAAATTAAGTAATTTAAGCTAATTTAATACTATTAAAATATAAATGAATTTAAAACATGGTTGCTGAGTTGGGAGTTATTACCGAAGGGAGAGAATGTAAAAATGTCTTGTATGTATGTCAATTCTATTACAGATTTTTTGAACTATTGGTCTTATATAGAACATGGAGTGTATGGCAAAATCTTCCTCAAAAGATGTAGAAAAAAAATATTGTGTGAATCAGTCAACCTTTAAGATTTTCAGCAATTAAATGCCTCTAAATGTGAGGGACTAGTGTCATGGATTTCTTTTGTATGATTAAGGTGCTTGGTTAAAAGACTTGGCCAAATTTTTTCAGGGAACCAATTTTTCACTTTTTGTGAAAATTCCCTGGCTGGGGAATTCTGGGAGTTGAAATCCACATATCTTAAAGGTGATAAGGTTGAGAAACAGTGACCTAATAATAGAGTTTTTTATTTTGATTTTTTTAATTGCCACAATCAATCAAAGGTGCACAGAAGGAATTGCAAGATCAGTAAACATAAACATCCAGGATGCAATGCAGCCATTACAAATATGTAAACCAGTAACATAACAATCAGTGCAGTCACAAAATGGCTACCATGGAGTGACTCACCGAAGATCCAGATAGTAAAGGGATAACATTGTACAAGGCCTTCCTGCTTGTTTTGCTTCCCTCACCCTCGACAATGGTTAATCAGGAAAGGTTGAGAAGGACCAGAAAGAACGTTATAGTTCTCCACTTACAACCAGAAATGGGACCAGAATTTCTGTTGTTAAGCAAGATGTTTGTTAAGTGAGTCAGACCTGATTTTACTACATTTTGTGCCATCTTAAGTGTTAAGTGAGTCACTGCAGTGGTTAAGTGAATCACGGGGTTGTTAAGCAAATCTAACTTCCCCATTGACTTTGCTTGTCAGAAGCCAATTGGGAAAGTCTCAAAAGATGATCACATGACTCTGGGATGCTGCAACTGTCATAAATATTGACTAGTTAACCAAGCTCCTGAATTTTGAACACATGACCAGGGGGATGGTATGACATTCATAAGAGGGCCGGCCATATGTCACTTTTTCATCCATTGTAATTTCAAATGGTTGCTAAAGGAATAGTTGTAAGTCGAGAACTACCTGTATAGCCAAAATGGTGCTAGTTTAAGCTCTTAAGAACCTGGATTGTGAGCTTTTGCACGTAAGAGAAAATCCTAGCAAGCAAAAATGATTAGGCTAAAAGTTCCACATGGGAATTATCTTCCAGATAAACCTACGACCCTTTCAATGTTGTGCACACAACATGTGTTTCAAGTGCAAAATGAGACTGACAGAATAACAGAGTTGGAAGGGATCTTGGAGGTCTGCTAGTCCCAACTCCCTGCTTGAGCAGGAGACCCTATACCAGTCCAGACAAGTTGACAAACGGATCAACTGACATGGATCAGTTTGGACCTGTAAGGCGTGTGAGTTGATTTCAGAACAAGGTTGATGACAAGCTGAGACCACCTCAAAATAAAATGATTTCCAAACAACCTGGTTTCACACTCTGGGATCAGTGTGGTGCACAAAACAAGGTGTTTGGTGCTCAAAAGCAGCATTTGGAACTGGGTGAAATCAAGCCAGAGTCCTCACTTGTTGCACAGACTGAAATCATCCTATTTTGGACTCTGCGAAGACCCAGCTCTCTGGAGAAGGCTGTGATGCTGGGAATGATGGAAGGTGAGGGAAGAAGAGGACCACCAGTGGGAAAGTGGAGGGACTCAGTTACAGAGATGATGGGTGTACCATCGGGCTATCTGAAAGACCAGGCTGGGAGCAGGTCTTTACTGAGAAAATCTATGTCAGGGGTCTTCAAACTTGGCAACTTTAAGACTTGTGGACTTCAACTTCCAGAATTCCTCAGCCAGCCGTGGCTGGCTGAGGAATTCTGGGAGTTGAAGTCCACAAGTCTTAAAGTTGCCAAGTTTGAAGACCCCTGATCTATGTGGTTGCTAAGAGTTGACAATGACTGGATGGCATGTAATCAATGAAACAGATAGTGACTACAGAATTCCTCTTCCAAGACTTAGTTAACTCCATACCTGCTTTTTAAAATAAAAGTAATTACGATAGTGTGCTTTGGTCAAACCAATGAGGCCCCTTCATCTGGATACAACCTTCATCTGGAGAAGAGCCCTGATTTTCTCTAAGGAAAGAGCAAGTGTACTGGTATTTTTTTTCGTCTCTCTCTAGCTAAAGAGAGATCAAAGGTAAGATCATGTACACGTAATTATTTGAATAATTAATTATTTGAATAATCGGGGGTCAGTAGAACCCTCTCCCAGAAATCTATTTTTGCACACAAGAGTAATATTAATGCTACAGTGCTGAAAAAAGTGGCATAACTCTTTTTCACACAACTGTTGCAGCATGTCCATGGTCACGTGATCAAAATTCGAACACTTGGCAACTGGCTCAAATTTATGACGGTTGCAGTGTCCTGGGGTCATATGATCTCCTTTTGCAAATTTCTGACAAGCAAAGTCAATGGGAAGCCAGATTCACTTCACAACCGTGTTACTAATTTACTAAGTCCACAAGTCATAAAAGGGCCAAGTTTGAAGACCCCTGGTATACAGTCTGATCTCCTGTTGATGCAAATCTAAATCCCAGTATCCATGGCAAGAATGGCTGTAAAATAGGGCGAAACTCACTTAAAAGTGTCTCACTTAGCAATGGAAATTTTGGGCTCAATTGTGGCCATAAATTGAGGACTATACCTATACATAATATGTTCTCTTATTGCTTTGCACCTATCAATTTAGTTTCAAAACATGTTTCCCTGTAATTTAATTGTTCAGTGCAGAGAATGGATTAATTCAGTTACAATATGGACATACTGTACAAACGCAGACTTAAAGGGTGGAAGGCTGGAGAGATTGCAAAAGACGCTAAAGCGTGGACTGCAATAAGAGCAAGGCTGATGTTAAATGTTAATCCTAATAGTAAGAACAGATTAGCAAAACAATCTATTACTGGAGAAAAATGGGCTTTCCTGTACTTTCAAAGCAGAGACTAGAGAGCTATCCACCATGGATACTGGGATTTAGATTTGCATTGACAGGAGATCAGATTCTACACCAGGGGTCTTCAAACGTGGCCTTTTTATGACTTGCGGACTTCAAATCCCAGAATCCCTCAGCCAGCCAGCTGACTGAGGAATTCTGGGAGTTGAAGTCCACAAGTCATAAAAGGGCCAAGTTTGAAGACCCCTGCTCTACACCAATGTTTCTCAACTTTGGTGACCTTAAGACATCTGGACTTCAACTCCCAGAATTCCTCAGCCAGACATGTCTGGCTGGGAAGTTCTGGGAGTTGAAGTCCAGACATCTTAAAGTCACCAGGGTTGAGAAATTCTGCCCTGCACAAATGATTTTCACCACTCTAATGATAGAAAATTGTCTAGATTTGAGTGAACTTTATTTTTTGGTCTTTCAAGGAAGCCCAACAAGTTCTCATCAAACGTTAAGGTACGGTGAAAAACAGTAGCAAAATCTCTGATCTAAACCAGGGCTTTTCAACCAGTGGTACGGGTACCACCTGTGGTACATTGGCCCCTGGCAGGTGGTACGCGACCATCCTAGAAAAGTGGTAGCGGGGGAGGGGAATGAGCTGAACCTGTGGCAGCACCGCACAAGCCTGAGCGAGAGATGGCTGGAGCTGCAGGGCTGTCAGGGCTCAGCGGAAGCGCCAGGATCAGCGCTTCTTCGGGACTGTCAGGGCTCAGTGGAAGTGCCAAGATTAGCGCCAGGCTCCAGCTGGA